CTATCGACGCTTATTGTATCGCAACGTAGAATTTCGATGGCATTCCGAAAACGGCACTCTCAATTTTCGGTTCAATACACGAAGCCCTATAAAACGATAACTTAAAATTAGAAAAGGGAGACGCGTGAAAGCTGTATTTTGTTTAAAATTTTAATTTCTATAAATTTTCGTAAAATGTGGTTTTGCAGTTTGAGTCTAAAAAAGTTATCAAGAAATTATCAACAAATTTTTTAATATTTTAGAAAATTATTTTGAATTGATAAACCATTTATATTTCGGTACATCGTTTCATCTACTTTTTTAATTATGGAATCCTTCACATTCTGCATTCTCATGAACTCTTAAAATATTTTTACCCTTGTCTTCTCTTTATACAAATAGAAGAAAGAGCTTTAAAAGACACGCGCCCTATATTTTAGTGAAGTGATTAAACAAAGGCTCGCTTCATGGCGGAATTTCGATTTCGCCGAGTCTCATCCAAGCGTATTTTATCGAACAAAGCGCAGGTTTTACTCGACGCTGATCGCGGGTCATAACAATGCGACCTCCCTCGCGAATTGCAACAGAAAAAAAATAAATTACTCGAGCGAATTGTCAAACGTAACTAGTTTCATAGGGAAAGCCTATTTAAGTACTTAAAAGTAGCACAATGAACGAATGCAAACCATGACAAAAGGAGTGTTAATTAGTTCTATTGAAGACTTCTTTGTTTTTCTAAAATGAATACGATTTTTTACTAGATTCTGCAGTTTTCATTGTCATATGCAGAAATTTTCCGGATGCAGAAATCGATCATTATGATAGAAAATTACCTATAATATATCAAGATCGTATTTTTACACAAAAGTAAAAGTAGTTATTAATGCACTGTTGACTAAAATTAAATTTGTCTCTTTTTCTTTCTAAGTTTTAAATAAATAATTAAGTAACAATTAATTATTACTTTATTATTTATAATTTTATTAAAAAATTACTTTAAAGTAATAATTTTTAAACATGATAAAAAATAACATGATAAATCATGATAAATGATAAAAAACATAATAATTTTAAAGTAATTTTTTTAATATAAAAAATATATTTACGTAATTTTTTTTAATATGATTTATGTATTATATAAATATTTTAATTATATGTGTATGTAAACTTTTACGATATTATATATTTTAAAGTCCATATCAGTTCTTGAAAATATAAGACAATTCAGCTATTTTTCTGTTTAATGACTATATATTATAACTACATATTTACATCTTATATAAAATAGAATTTTCAGATAAAACCACATTCAGAAACCAACGATGATATCAAGCAAATAATCGGAAAGAATATAGAATTTTATTGTAGGAAGTCACGACGGAAAATGGCATTATTGAAACAAATAGAGACGTCTGATTTTCTTATAGTAAAATCTAAACTCATCGATGTCCGTCAAAATGCGATCGATTCAATCGTAACTCGCATATGAGCGCCCTGCCTTCAACCGTGCAGTGCCTTAATGTAAAAAGTAACGTATTTTTTTATGCGTATTTTGACGCGTCTGCAGTTTATGCATTTTTCTGCATTACGAGCGATAAAATCTGACGCGTTTTATCGCCACTAAATTTCCATGGTTACGCAATGAACGACGCGAAGGGGTACGCAAGAGATTTTTATGAAATCGCACTCGCCAGGAAACGCCGTGCCTTCATGCGAGTGGACTGGCGCGTAACAGCGAAAATTTTTACTTTATTCTTGCGGACGAGCGGGTGGCTTTCAGCCGGCGACTGTGGTCACTTTAAATGCACGGCCGAAAAAAATACCGCGCACGCGGTTATGTGTGTCCATTAAAAAAGCCGGGTTGCTAATACCGTGAAGTGGCTTCGCTGTAATGCACGATAATGATCCTCCAAAAAGGATTAAATTTTCCCAAGCAAAGTAAATGCGTTTGCTTGTCTTGCTTTGTATTTTCTGCAGCTTAATCAAGGAATTAAAAGAAAACAGATATATCTATGGTTAATTCATAAATATTTTCAATGTCGTTTTCTAAACGTTAGATTAAAGGTAATTTGTAGAAATTTAGGAACAAAGAATAGCGAATGAATACTTTTCTAAGTAATGTCGTATTATTTTTTAAAGTTCTATGCGATCAATAATTTTTATCAAGTTATGATATGCAAATTGAAGGTTCATAACAAAAACAACCCTTGTCAAAAGTTGAGGAAATTTAAATAATAGTGTATTTTAGTAGTCACAGATAGAACCTACAGTGTGGTTGCACCAGTTCTCATAAAAATTAACTCATGTTAATATTGTTTACATTGTTAAGAAGTTTAGGTGGTTCTACTAAAAACTTAAGGATGATAGAATATTTTTTCTTCTCCCAAAAAAATGAAAAAATTAACAAGGGTTGTTATGAACCCTTCAATTATACATTTATTTTGTTAAATATCTTATTTCAAATATTATTTGCGTTAGGCAAAATAAACTTTGCAAGGAAGTATCAGCAATACTTATTTGGACAAAATAAAATTTACACAAACAATTTATCTCAAGCTTACGTTCGAGTTTGGACTTTTGTTACGCCACAAACACGTTCGACATGCAGGTAGTTAGTCTTTGAAGAGTTCTCCGCGTGACGAACGCACGCACCCAACACGGAAAGCACTCACGAATGCAAACATTTATCCGAAAAAGTTTTTCGGACGGTCGCGTGTAGTTTTGTTGCAGTTTGAGTTGCGGGCCAAGTTTTGCGCTTCGTCATACGTAAACTGTTTCGATGCAGTCGCACGCGGGCGACAACGCTTGATCAAAGAATAACTCATACCAATGCATACATGCGCGATCGATGCGCGGATACAGCTTTGCAGTGAACCAACGGATGCAAAGCGTGCATGCAGGCGGATGACGGCTTTGTTTTCTGTGTTCGAAGGTGCGATACACCACGGATTTCGCTCGCCGTTATTTTACAGCGCGCGTCGTTATTACACGATACGTCTATTTAAAGTTTCCGATGTTATTGTTTCTGGTCAACTGAGCCGCCGTTGATTGCTCCTGACGTGATTCATACGATGCTGTTAAGCCCCTTTGCAGTTGTAAATGTGCACTCAATATGGCATTTTATGGTGTTTTTATGCTATAAAACCGATTGAGAAACGCGACGCGCTGTTAAATGGATTCAACTATTGATTCAGTAGTAGTGGCTAAGTATGATCAGACAATACCGACCAAGCAATATAAAATTGCTATATTCTATTTAAAAAAAAAAACCAACTCTAGATTTAAATTGTAATATAAACATAAAATTCTGTGTCAAAAATATATGAAAATATAATAACAATAATATTTTAACATTTATCAAAAAAAAATTTATGTTTGAGTTTTCGCTTATTTTACAATACGCTCCAATACGCTCTACGTCAAAATCTTGGGTAAAATGTATACAGTTTTGTTACCTGGGCTGGGATTAGGCTGTTTCCGGTTGATATTGGCCAGTGCTAACTTCGCCAGTACCATTGCCTTCGAAGTACTAGTCCAACTGTAGAGCATTGTCGTATCAATACTACTCCGTATGTTCTTGCCAATGTTGTGCCAATAGCAGCATTCACCTCAAAATGGTGTTACACTTCGGTGATCAAACTTAATCGGCGGAATTCTGACAGCTAGTATTAGCACGACTAGCAAAGCTTGAATCCTACTGAGCAGTTTGTGAAACTTCACCTGAAAAATTTCCATTAGAATTAATCGTAAATCTCAAATTGTTGTTTGCAATATTTGCAATTAAATGAAAATACACAAGTAAAATATTATATACATAAAGCGGGCAAAGAATATTTTAAATTATTATAAAGCAAAAAGTTTGTATTTAAGGAACAAGTAAATGAATTCTTTTTAATAATCTCAATAAAATATCAATTAATTATGTTAACGCTATTCGTCGACAATTTCTAATTGCCATAATGAAATCACTGTACTACTGTAACCTCTGCGTCAGGTTCCATCCGATTATCGCGTTCCATGAAAAGGTTATGCATGGGCAACGAGCTAATAGAAATGTAAATGACGATGAATTTAAAATTCAATTTGGAAAACTCCGCGAAAGCCACCGTGCGGGACATTTAAGTACCTTGCAGGAAACATTGATAATATTATATTTCGCGATAATACGTAATTATATGCGCCCCTTGTGTGACGCAGTATCATGTCGCGCATCTGCGCCGGCATAATAACTACGGATAATGTGTAGGGAAAGTTTCGAATGTGGTGTTTTCCAAACTATTTGGAACTTGCGCGTAATATTGCCGTTTCGCCGCGGCGCGGCCTATATGTCACAGGAAAGTTAGGAAGCGTTTCGAAATAATTCATAATTACAACTTCGGCATAGCTTTCTGTGTATGAGCAAGTTCCGAACTACGTGGCCGAAGGTTTATGCGCGATACAAAACATAGGAAATTTCAATAATTATTTTGGAAGGCCGTGAGAGACGCTCGTGTGTACGATCGTTTGGAATTTGAAATCGGATTTTTGTCAAAACTTGATGAATACATAGATGACAAATGACGCATTAATAATTCACAAATTAAATTAGAATTCACAAATCGCTGCATCTGCACTCATCGTTTATACAAATCACGAACAAATTAATAAATAAATTATTAATAAATATAAATGTCACCGAATGTAATTATTGTAATAATTATTACGTATATACAAGACAAATCTGATAAATATATTTTTCTGCTTTTTTTCTAAATATGTATAATTATATTTTAGTCAAAAACATACATTTTTATTTCTTCAAAAATTTCTATATAATTGTTTTTTCAAGTATTTAATAAAAGCTTTGTTATCAGAGACTTGAAAAATTTACGCAAAGTTCATATTTTCCGCTCTATACAACTCCATTCTCCATGACTTGTCCAGAATCCCTCGGTAAAGCAGCGCGTTTGCAACGAGAACAAACAACCACCCGTAGCTACCAACCCCTCCGGTAGTTCAGTTCGCTCCGGCACGTTGAAAATCTCGCTACTACCGATGGTGCGTCTTCGCTTTTTTCTAATAGCATCCCTTTTTAACAGTATAAACGCACGGCAATTTTGAGGACAAATTTCGAAAAAATTACGAGAGTGCGCGATGACGAGGATTGCAACTACTCGTCGAGGGTGGGTTTGGTGTGTCGGCCTGTGAGAAAGGATATGCAATTATTGGCCAGCGTCTGCGCTTCTATATTGATCCACGGCGGCGGCGGCGGTGGTGGCGGTGGCGGCTGTGCTCGCGGCGCGTTCGAGCGTTCGGGTGGGACCACAATCAACCCCACAGAGCGAACCCGCCCAAAATGTATTTTTGTCTGCGTCTCGCGCGGCTATTCCTGATTTCGGCGATCCTGTGCGTCGGTAAGGCCCGTTTCCCGGGACGACAGCTTGAAACTTGAGAAAAACTCGCGCGCCCCAGAAAAAGTGCAGTGCTCGGATGCAGGAATAAACCAATTTTCTGACGGACGAAGGAAAAGTGATGTGTGTAGCGGGACGAGATGAGGCGGCGTGCGAGTTTTTAATTAGCGCTATTCCTATTTATTTTCACGTGAATCGGGATTTCGCCGATCAAGCGTCTTCATTAATCGCGCTAGTCGCGCTATTCGCCTTATCTTTATTTACATAAATCCTTCAAATTGCAGGTTTGTGCTCCGAGGATGAAGAGAGATTGGTGCGTGACTTGTTCAGAGGATACAATAAGCTCATTCGACCAGTGCAAAACATGACGGAGAAGGTGCACGTGAGATTCGGCCTCGCCTTCGTGCAGCTGATCAATGTGGTAAGACGCTTTTCATCTTTGCTCATTTCATCTTCGATTGTAATTAAAAAATAATATTAGTTAAACATTATTGAAAACTAAACATTCAAAATATATAGTTGATTGTATACATTTTTCTGTCACATATAATTTTAAAAAATTTTTAGAACGAGAAGAACCAGATTATGAAATCGAACGTATGGTTACGATTCGTGTGGATGGACTATCAGTTGCAATGGGATGAAGCGGATTATGGCGGAATCGGCGTTCTTAGATTACCACCCGATAAAGTGTGGAAACCGGATATAGTGTTGTTCAATAAGTAAGTGGAAAAGTTATTATATATATTTTACTAATGTCAAAAAATTCGTTGATTGGATATTAAATATTTAAACGACAAATTATCAATTAGAAATGTCATTTTCTTTATCAATCTAATATTATTGTTGAAGACATTAATGTTTGTATATAAAATTAATTATTTGAAAAACTTAAATTACCTCAAAATAATTTTAATTAGTCACAAATGAGCATAAAAATACAAATAGAAAATCGTTTCAGCAATTAAAGTAGACTTTTTGTATTAATTATGGAGTCAAAGCTTTTTGACAATTATGTTTCTAATATATGAGTATATTTAATCTGTTTATAGCGCCGACGGTAACTATGAGGTTCGATACAAAAGCAACGTATTGATATACCCAAATGGTGAAGTGCTCTGGGTGCCGCCAGCGATTTATCAGAGCTCGTGCACGATCGACGTCACGTACTTCCCCTTCGATCAACAGACGTGCATCATGAAGTTCGGCTCGTGGACCTTCAACGGCGATCAGGTCTCTCTCGCGCTCTACAACGACAAGAACTTCGTCGATCTGTCTGATTACTGGAAGAGCGGCACATGGGACATTATCAGTGTGCCGGCGTATCTCAACACCTACCACGGTGATTTTCCCACGGAAACGGACATCACATTTTATATAATTATTCGCAGGTGCGTGTTGTCGTCTTTGTCCGTTCTGCTTTCGACATCTTTCTTGGCTTCTTTTAATAACAATCAATATATCATATCGCATTCTACTTCGAATGTTTTTGCTTCTGCAGGAAGACTCTCTTCTACACAGTGAACTTGATACTGCCAACGGTTCTGATTTCCTTCCTCTGTGTGCTCGTCTTCTATCTTCCGGCGGAGGCTGGCGAGAAGGTCACTTTGGGTATTAGCATTCTTCTATCTCTGGTCGTGTTTCTCTTGTTAGTCAGCAAGATCCTTCCGCCAACTTCTCTGGTGCTGCCACTGATAGCCAAGTATCTGCTCTTCACCTTCATCATGAACACCGTCAGTATCCTTGTGACCGTGATTATCATCAATTGGAATTTCCGAGGACCGAGAACTCATAGAATGCCTCAGCTTATACGCAAGATTTTCCTCAAGTATCTGCCAACGATGCTGTTCATGAAGCGGCCGAAGAAGACACGGTTGAGGTGCGAATTTATTAAAGAACATTATTAACAAGAAAAACAATTATATAATATTTGCGGTAATTAGAGATTTCGTTTGCTAAATCTAAATAAATCTAATTAAAAATAAATTAATAAATACAAACAAAATTGTAATTAAAGATTACAAGAGCGCGCGGTAAAAGCTCGGATTTATCATTATGCTGCTGTTATTCTGTCAGATGGATGATGGAAATACCGAACGTAACACTGCCAGCTTCTACGTACTCGGGAAGCCCGACCGAAGTACCAAAACATCTGCCAGCCTCTCTGGCAAAGTCAAAAATGGAAGTAATGGAGTTATCCGATCTGCATCATCCGAATTGCAAGATCAATCGTAAGGTGCACCACACCACGAGCAGCTCCAGCGGCGCCGGAGGCGGAGAAGGCATGGGTGACAGAAGAGGATCCGAGAGTTCGGATTCGGTATTGCTCAGCCCGGAAGCCACCAAGGCTACCGAGGCCGTGGAGTTCATAGCGGAGCATCTCAGGAACGAGGACTTGTACATACAGGTACAAAACACCTTACAATAATTTCTTTGTATTCATTTTTCTAAACAATAATTTTGACTGTACGCTTTATAATCGCGCTATGTGTGCCACGCGAACGATAGAATTTTTTCGTTAAAATATATAATATATTCGTTTTTCTAAACGCGCCACTTTCATTCTTTTCGTACTTTTGCAGACAAGGGAGGATTGGAAATATGTCGCGATGGTAATAGATCGACTGCAGCTTTATATCTTCTTCGTAGTAACAACCGCGGGTACCATCGGGATCTTAATGGACGCACCACACATTTTCGAATACGTGGACCAGGATCGTATCATAGAAATTTATCGCGGAAAATAATCAGATTTGCCCCAACAAATTGCAATCGCGAATAATATGCCATCATTACGACCGTTCTTATTTCGCCCCAAGTTCAAAATAAATTTCTTCATAATATCAAGTGAATAATCTTATTACAATTTCAGCTGCAAACGTCTAACGCTTACAATTTAAGCGGTTATTCAACGAGCGATAATTTTTCATACAGATTTTGATGAAATCCTATGCATCTTATAAAAATTCATTTGTTGAAACTTAATTCCGCCGCTATTACATGCGAGAATATTACTTTTGTCCACGATTGTAAAATCCGACTTGCAAATTTTCTCAATGGCGAAACTCGAGCGATCGAAATCGGCATACATTATTTAGATAATAATTCCATTAGCGTTAAACATTGCTGCCTCTGCAATTATTGTCTTCCCCGATGCCATAAACCTTCGATAGTTTTATCGCGATGCGCTTAGATGAAGGATTTACAAATAATTCTCATCTTTTATTTTATCGAAGAGATTGGTATTTCCAAAAATTTTGAATACAAGGCATCATATAAAATAATATTATTGCATTAGCTAATATTAAAGTATAAAGTTAATATTTTGGTTATTGGAAATACCATGTTTGTTCCTTCAAATGTAGCTATCGTGCAAAACACATTTAATGTTAAACGATGAAATCCGCTTATGTAGTGTTATATATCGCATTTAGAAAAATATGAAATTGATTAATGGAAAAAGATAATTGTAATATATTAACATACTGATGGTACGCACAAACCTGTTTAATCAACTATATATTAATATGTCTGAATTAGAATACAGTTAATCGAATAGTTTGGTAAGCTAGAAAAATATATAATGAGTATTATTTATTATAAAGTAATTTAGATTTGCAGGAATTCACGTTTAACATTAAAAATCATACGTACATAGATTCGTGCATTTTTTAGGACCGTAATTTCATCACGATATTTTGATGCGTTTAATTCGTTAAATATAGTCTTCCGTTTCTTCATTCTCTAAATATATCTTCGACACTAACATGTGTTAATGAATTTAATACAAAATTTAGTGGTGAAAAAACGGTTCTTCACTTGATCTCCCGATTGTAATTTTGACGATCAGCTTCGACCAGTATCAAATTCTCGATATCAAAGCTATAAATTTCTGCGTAAAGTAAGGTCGAAACGTTCTCGATGACGCGCACTAACGATGTGAATAAACGCGCAGAATCAATTGCGACAATGGCTTAGGTATAGATTTGAAATAATTTTGATAATAATCACGCGAATCGCCGTTGCCACATTGTAATCTAGCTGAGCTCGCGTTTGATACTCGCCATCGTGGTAATGATTATAAGTATCGATAGTGTAGCGACGACCTCGACATGGTCGTCAAATGTTAGTATTGACGAATTCGTAGCGACAAATTTCGTGTGGGCATGAAATGCTGTAAATTAGACTAATATGTTAATTATGAATGAATTTGCCCGATGTATATCTGCGCGATGATTAGAAGAGCAATCAAGCCAGGATACCTTCCACTGATTATCCATTAAAGAAATTTATTATATTTTCGTTGGCCTTAAGTAGAAGTTATATTTTGAGAATACATTTTGACTTGATAAGCCTTCCAAAAGTTAAATTCTTAGAAAATGGCTTATACTCATACCGGATATTTAGCGCGGAGTTATCTGAATATTCATATTACTTAATACATGGTTTAAAATATGCAGATACACAATGCTGCACATGTCACATTTTGATATTATCTTGTATTACCAGTTTCATTTTCTTAGTGAGACTTTTTCGTAAATTTTAGCAGTATTATTTTATATACACATAAATAAAGTAAATAACTTTTGTTGTGAATTAACTATCACGTATATAATGTATAAGTATATAGTTTATAGAAAATGTTTAAGAAATAAATAATAAATAAGTGTGGTAAAAGCATGTTTTCGTATTTAATTTTAGTAAAATGCGCAATTCAGTGATTTTAGCTAAATGCGGGATGAGAATGTAAGCTAGCGCGTTTGTGTCACAATTATAAATGCGTATGTTAGACAGCACGATTCTACGTTCGCAAGAACGTGTCGTGCGTTAATAGATATTATAATCATGCCACCATACTATATTATATTGTACAGAGAGGCTGTTAAACGATCATGTTTTCTCTGCTAGAATATTCAATCGGAAAGAAAATTGTTGTATACCGAGGATTTTCTTGCAAGTAGTGAAACGACGAAAAATATAATCTCTTCTTAAAGTCACTTTCAAAAATTTTCTACTGGAATTATTTTACAATATCTCGCAATGTATATGCAAATTTACAATAATTGTACAATTGGTCGATTTTGATCGACCAGCAAAACTTTTAGCGTGGCGACTTATCTGATTGCATCAAAGTCCTCGATTATTAATTTATTATTGCTGCAGAATTCTTTTAATCCAACGAGCAAAATGTTGTGTTCTGCGTTCAAATATTTTATCTTGTTTATTGATGAAGTTTACTGTTGTTGTTGTTGTAACAATTTTTTAAAAGTATGTAATTGTTGCGTAGATTGATCGTTGTGTTTGTTCAAGTAGATAATATAATTTTTAACTTACCTAAAGAAGCTTGATATATAAATATTTCGATAGCAATAATTGGCGTAGAATTCTAAATTAATAAAAAAGATATCTTTGATTGTAGTTACTTGCGTTAATCTTAATAAATTTTTGGTTTGATGTTATAATCTCTTGAATAAATTCTACATATATTATGTACGTCTATCATATTTTTTTCTTACTTTGTATAAATAAATCAGTAATATTTATTTACACATTTTGCTTTTGCGTAATATGACTCGACAGAGAACACTTTGTTCAGGATGTATATTTAGGGTCGATTCGAGAATTCTTTGTCTTCATATTACAATGCGTTAATTATTGATAGTGCATGATGTGTGCGTCTTCCTCGAGAAAAATACAATAATTAAATTTTAGAAACCAAATGTACTCGCATAATTCTTTCTGTTCCAGACCCTTCACACCAATAAGCACATCAATATAATTTAATTTGCAACCATGCGGTTTAAATAAATAAAACAATAAAGAGATACACTTTAGCCAAAGCATGTGCGTCCCTAATCGAGAAGGAAAATAATAATGTTAACAAATGTTTAGCATACAGTTTACCTTATGCATATAACAAGGGATCGGTATTGTTGATCTGAGAAGTTTGTACTTTATTATGCATAATGAATAATTAATATAGCGAAATATATTCATGCATTAATTATATGTTGGTAGGTAAAAGAGAGTTTTAACGTAAGAGCTATAAGCTGTTCTTTTTATAATGAAATAATGCATCAATAAAACTCATCAAATTTCTACTTGTCTTGATTGATGTTGCGATCGCATTCTGCGGCGCAATGTTCCTAATTTCAACACCATCCGAATGAAAAGTGACGTTTTTCTCTCTCTCTCTCTCTCTCTCTCTCTCTCTCTCTCTCTCAAATCGTCGATGAAAATTGATTACAACAAACTGCGAGCGAGTTCGTATATGATCGCGAGAATACTAAAGAGGGGAGGAAACGGAAGACATTTATTTTCATTTCATTTATTTCAACAATTTCATAATAACGTAATAATGTTAATAATATTACAATGCGGCGATTACAGTGCTCACCAGTTAACAGGGATTCTCATATCGATCAACGTTGCCTCGAAAAGGAGCCCAGCGTAGAAATATAACAAATTTTTTTTATTCACGCTCTCTTATTATATCTCCTCCGGTATGAATTTACTATTATCGGACCAGGCTGTTATCGAGGCATAATTAAAAGTCAAGTGAGATCGGGTGAGTTCAGTTCAATTGCATCGCTCCCCCCCTCCCCCCCCCCCCCAC